AACTTTAAACTTCAGGGAAAGGATAAGGATATCTGTGATCTGTATTGAATCATCAAAAGCTAAACACCAGTTTCACAAATCTCACTAGCCTTTTTTGCTGCTTAGTTTGTGAGATTCGGATATGTGCGCACTGGGTATGATATAACTATCTTATTGCTAACGTAGCCTTCTTTGATAACTTTTTGGTTAAAAATCATGTTTGTTGTCTTTATTTTTGTGTATTCACTGTATTGTATTGAGCAAAATGGTTATGCGGCCCGCGCTCGTCATTCTCTCAGTTATCTGGCTCGTGTGAAAAAAGTTTGGTGACCCCTGGCTTATGCCTATTATCTAACTCTAGCTCTAACATTTATTCTCGGCTTCTATTTCCAAGGATTTATTCTTAACTTCCAACTATATATTTTCAGCTTCTACTTCCAAGCGTTTATTCGCAGATTATAAGCGTTTCATTTCTAGCTGAATCTTAGCAGGTTCTAAATCATTACCATAATAACCTTTGTGAACCCATAGCTCTAGGTTAGAAAAAATCATCTACTGTGACTCCCACCTCAATAAAATATTAATGTATCTCATCATTTTTCCCAATTGCTACTACAAGTTATATACCAAGTCCTCTACATTTACTTACCAACTGGCTTTTTATCAGGGATTTCCATTTCTCTACTCCTAAACAATGAACTACAGAATTTATAACAAGTAAAATTTAACTGAAGCACCATCAAACCAAAATAGGCAAGACAAGAACAAAAATGAAAGGTACACTCTTTCCCGACTTCACTGCTCCATCCAGTTAACTGTCTTCCTCGACTTTTGTTGATATGGTGATACGGTTCCAACTTCAAAATTTTCTTTCTTTGTTGGGTTTCGATTCCTAAATAATTTACGAACCACACTTCTGACACAACTTCGTTACTTTCATGCTATGCTCGCACTTTAATTTCCTTTCTTGTTTAGATCAAATTTATTTAGATTGTATTTATTCCTATCTGGAATTGATTCATATCAGTATAAAAATAACAACTTGTTGTTTATAACAAGTAATAAATAACACATGGGTTTTGTTTCTTACTGGAAGCATATTACTTTCTTCCTCTTAGTTTATTTGTTCTTTCACACCTACCATTCTTTTCTGTTATTTGTTTGGTATATATATTTTTTCTTTTCCCTTATGCCTTTTATATTCCTTTGAACAACTCACACCAAACACGTTCAGTTCTTTCTCACCTTGCACCTGTTTCTCGTATACTAGATTACAACATTTCACAGTCATAGGGTGTCTTGTAAGATCCATACCAGATGAAACTTGAAACGTGACTGCTTACATTTCCTAATGACTTAGAGTATTTTAATCCCCTAAGTCCTTACAACGTGACCACGTTCTCACCTCTCTGAGCTCGAACTCATGTTCCTTAAACCTAACTTCATAAAAAGTATTTTTTTAATTTTTCATACCTTATTTTCAAAATTGAAAAAAATATTTTTCTGACAGATTTAATAGTTAATGTTTCCTATTTTACTCAGCACTTGAATAAGAATTTAAAATCTATTATGTTATAATTTGTTGATTTCTTCTTGTTCTAACCTTCCCCTATTAACAGGCTGCATTAAACAAACCTCTTCACAATATATTCATTCTAACGATCAAGACCCAACAGAGAGTTGGAAGAGCAAGTTACCCCACAGCGGTATGTCTGTGGACTTCCAACGCTAGTATCCGGGTTTCGATACCCGTGGTGGGCAGAGCACAGATAGCCCATTGTGTAGCTTTGTGCTTAATTAAAACAAACAAACGAAGAGCAGGCTACAAAACTGTTTTAGTATTATCTAAGTTGAAGATTACCAGCTTATATTTAGGTGTAAACTAATTATTCTGTGTATGCTGAAAAATAATTCTAAATTTTGTCTGTAGGTGGTGCCTCAAGAATGCATCAAGATGAATTTCACAATGGCATAAAAGGACAGTTGTCAGTTTTCTGACAAACATATCACGCTGAATAATGTTGTTATAATATCGAGGTTCATGATTAATTAAATAAGATTCTTAGTACACACTTTAGACATTGATAAACAAAGATAGAATCGTGATTTACTAACATTGTTTATCAATTTGCTTGTGTAATTATGAATACGGGATTGGGTATGTTATATTAAAACGATTTTGAATATGAAAATCTGACAGTAACGTGACAACCACAGTTGATATAATCTCATGTGGGAACGGCATATCAGAACTAAGTTTTGATACTGTTTGGCATTTTGTTGGTAGTGAGCCACCAAAATTGATCAATTTTGGGAAGGGTATGTAACAACTCTTTATGAATCAGAATATTCATACTCATATCATAAATATAAGTTCAGATAGGATATTTAGAATTCCCAAGACAGAAATATATCTCTTATACTTAGTAGTATTGGAAAGGAAGGGAGTACAGATCATCTTCGGACACCAGAACTATACAGAAAGAGACTTACAACAAATCGTACCCCAACTGTGGCAAGCATGTTACATCTTGTAATAGGTGAGAATACACAAATACAAATTGTGGTAGCGAAAAAGGGTGAACGTGACCCAGTCAAGAGCACACAACATAATTAAGAAGAATATCCAACTGTAAATGAGGCCAACAGAGTATGTGTTCACCAAGATTAGAAATAATGGTCAAATTTCCGAATGCAATGCCTATCGATTTCTATGTGATTCGACTAATGA